CCAGAAGTGCCCAGTGATGCAGAGCAGCTGTTCGCGAACGCTCTTCGACTGCCGCTCATTAAAAGCCGGACCTGAGAGGAAGGCATCAAACAACACCTGCTCCTTCCTCCTCCTCTTCATAAACGTTCTCCTTTCTCTCCATCTTCCTTCCTTCCTGTCGTCTGTCAGTGGAGTCGTGAATCTGAGGAGAGCTTCTCGCTTTCTTTCCAGCTCCTCCTGATGGCAAAGATGGGCAATTAATTCCTCAAAGAGCAGCCGAGTCTTCCAATTAGCAGCTGTTTGAGAGGACACACGCACACATGGCGATGTTTGTGATGAATGTGTGATGGGTGCTTTTTATCATCATTAGAAACATCAGGAAAATGTAATTAGCATATCATTTACTGTGCCTCTCGCTCCTGCTCAGATTGCTGCTCAGAAGAGGAACTTGAAGAACTACCACTACATCCTTGCCAATCTGGTGAGTTCAGGCTCAGCTTCCACACACACAGGGCTGAGGTCAAGGACGTATGCAGATGACTTTAACAGTTTGCACAAACTTTCCAGAGACGTGCTCGCTGTTGTCTGCATGTGGGGCTGTTTCCAAACAAACTGCAGCATTTCAGTTCATAAGTTTAAAGAGCTCGAAATATGCAGGCTTTCTTTTAACACTTAAAGAAATAAACTAAACTCGAAACACAGAGTAGTGCAAATAACTTCCAGACAATGATGTCATTTTTCATCACCAAAGTGTTCATGTCATTGTTTATTTATACCGAAGACAGGGTTTTATGGGATGCAGTGAAACCTATTGCTTTCCTTGTGTCTGTGTGTGTGTGTGTGTTTTTTTTAGGGCTTCTTGGACCTGAACGTCACAGAATTTCAGAAGCTCGGACCGAACGTGACCGGCTTCCAACTGGTGAATCGGTCGGATCCAGCTGTGCAGAAGATCAATCAGAACTGGCTGGACTTCGACAACAAAGACCTCAAAGTGGCTCGCAGGAGGCTCAAGGTACACACACACACACACACACACAGTGTTTTCATATTTTTTCTTTGTGAGGAAATCTGAATTGTATCCTCCCAGTATAAATGATCCTGACATTGTTGTTCTGACATTATTTACAGGTGTAATATAAATGGTCATTTGGTTTTTTTTTGTTTGTTTGGTTTTTTCTTTTTTCTGTTTTTTTTTTAAATCTGAGACTCTTGAGAAAGAGTTTATCAATGCAGTTACCCCAGAGAGATTGGTTTGTGAGTTTTGGAGAAAAAGTAACACATCATCTGCATAGAGACTGATTTTATGTTCTACATTCTTACATTTTATGCCTGTACTTGTTGATGCCTTTCTAATTGCTGCTGCTAGTGGCTCAATAAAAATTGCAAACAGTGAAGGGGAGAGTTGGCATCCCTGCCTGGTGCCCCTCAGGAGACATAAGCTGGAGGATGTCTGGTCATTTGTTCTGACACAAGCTGTTGGGGAATTATGTCATATTTTTAACCAGCTTACAAAAGAGTTTCCAAAACCAAATTTGTGTAAAGTTGCAAATAGAAATTTCCAGTTTACTCTGTCAAACGCTTTTTCCGCATCTAAAGAAAATATTATGGTTTCAATGTTTTTTACTGCATGAGTAGTCTATTAAATTAAGTAATCTACGAGTGTTTGTTGATGAGGGGCTACCTTTTATGAAACCAGTTTGGTCAGGATGAATTAAGAGGGGGGTTATTTTCTCTAATCTCTTTGAGAGAGCTTTGCAGATTATTTTAAGGTCTACATTTATAAGGGATATTGGACGATAACTTGA